CATTTAGCCAACTTTATTTGTGGAATAAAACTATCATTTCTTTTTCCTTTGAGTCCCAAGACCCAAGTAGCTGGATTAGATTTCTCACCTCTAGTTCATTGTCAGCCAACTCACTTGAGTGAATGATCTATAGATTATTCTAGGGGGAATTAGGCCTTTAAATGTAAAAAGACAAAATCTCAACAAATTGAGTTAAGTGAGTTAATTGGCTTCTTTGTGAGTTGGGTAGCTCTCACCTGAACATCAGTGCTTTCTGGGCATGGCAAAGAAGTTGGTGTTTTTGAGGCCACTTGAGGAGGATCAGAGAAGCAAACGGAGTATTTTTTTTCAAGATTTATTTATTTTTATTACAAAGTCAGATATACAGAGAGGAGAGACAGAGAGGAAGATCTTCCGTCTGATGATTCACTCCCCAAGTGAGTGCAATAGCTGGTGCTGTGCTGATCCGGAGCCAGGAGCCAGGAACTTCCTCCAGGTCTCCCACACAGGTGCAGGGACCCAAAGCTTTGGGCCGTCCTCAACTGCTTTCCCAGGCCACAAGCAGGGAGCTGGAAGGGAAGTGGAGCAGCTGGGATTAGAACCGGCACCCATATGGGATCCCAGCGTGTTCAAGGCAAGGACTTCAGCTGCTAGGCCATGCCGCCAGACCCCAAACAGTGTAATTTAAATAGCAGATGTCGGACATCAGGTTGTCCTGGGTTACTATGAAGGAGAAGAGCAGAGGAAACTTCTTTGGCCAAAGCTAGCACACATGACATTCAGCTGTTTTTATGTCCTAAATTTGCAGATCAGAGAAATGGCTTTGTGTCTGTGTGATGACCAGAAACTTCAGAGTGACTGACAGACGTCAGGAAGAAGCTACTAGCAAGGCGAGAGCTCAGGTCAGCAGTCCTTTGCAACCTCGCCTGCTCCGTCACCCCCTTTTGGGCTGCGGCTGAGGTAGAACAAGGCTGTGCAGAACTGCCCAGAGCAAGCCCTGGCTTGAAAATGCCCATCATAGCTGACCAAGGGGTGGCCGCGGTGACCTGGAGCTAACTAGCATAAGATTACTGTGGCTGATACTGCTGACATTCACCTGATGTGTGACACGTCTCCTTCCTTTCCCCCTCCAAAAAAAAAAAACTGAGGCAAGAAAAACGGGTGGCATTGAAACCTTGCCCCGAACACAAACCTTTGAATATGAAGTTCTTCCAGATTATATGAAGGGCTATCTCCAAACCGGTCCGCACGTTCTGGAGCTTGCATGTGCGTTCACTCTGCAAATAATCTTTACTTGCCTCTGCTGTACTTTGCCTGTCTTCCTCTGTTTGAGACAGGTTAGACAAAAGCCAGGAACCAGGTCTCCCGTGTGGGTGTGTGCCAGCGTTCCAAGCACTTGGGCCATGTTCTGTGTTTTCAGGCACATTAGCAGGGAGCTGGATCAAAGCAGAGCAGTCAGGACTCAAACTGGCACTTCTATAAGGAATGCCAGTGTTATAGATGGAGGCTTAACCCATTGGGCTCTGAATTTTAGGTAACAACAAAATGAGCTATGTTATAGGAAGAATAAGTTTGCTTCTGAAAAGATTTCACAAAATTGAAAGACAGTGGTTGGATGAAGTGATTAAAATGTTTGGCTTTGGGTCTGATGCCATAGCCTAGTGACTAAAGTCCTCGTCCTTCGTGTGCTGAGATTCCCATATTGGCGCCGCTTCATATCCTTGGGACCCTACACCCACCTGGGAGACCTGGAAGAAGCTCCTGCTCCTGGCTTTGGATTGGCTCCACTTGGGAGTGAACCAGCCGATGGAAGATGTTTCTCTCTGGGGCCCTGTGTGGTAGCCTAGTGGCTAAAAGTCCTCACCTTGCATGCACCGGGATCCCATATGGGCCCCAATTCATGTCCCAGAGGCCCTGTTTCCCATCTGGCTCTCCTCTGGCCATTGTGGCCACTTGGGGGGTGAGTCAGTGGAAGAAGATCTTCCTTTCTGTCGCTCCTCCTCTCTGTATGTATAACTTTCTAATAAAAATAAATCTTAAAAAAAAAAATTTGGCCTTGATTTATACATTATGTCGGCGCCTCAGGGAGCCTGAGTGAGGATTCCTTGTGGGAGTAATTCACCTGCTTCAGCAGGGATGAGAAGGGAAGACGCTGGCTGTTCCAAAGACGCCACTGCCGGGGTGTTAATTTGGAGGATAAATTCCCAAGGTTCACTTTGAAGAGATATAAATTTTCAGTCCAAATAATCCGTGTCGCTGTTTTTCTGATGGGCGGAATCTTCCCTGAGTGCCCTTCCCTCGGCGGGCACAGCGCGGCAGGCCCCTTCTCACCAGGACACGGGTGCCGAGTGGCTCAGCAGCAGGCCTCCATTCCCCTGAGCACCTGCAGGGTCAGGTGACGGCCATGCCAGGCTGGGCCCCTGCTGACAGTGCACTGTGCCTGGAGCGCAGGGCCCGTGGCTCCGCTGTGACATGCAGGATGTTTGGTTTCCATTTTCTGCACCCTTTCCTGTGCCTCCTGACTGGGCGGGACGTAGTGCTTGGTAAGTTTATGGAAAGTGCTTTGGACTCAGCAGAGGGCCTGATGTGTTTGCTTCAGTTCTGTCAAGTACCCTTCTTCACATTTAGGGGTCCCTGGAAATGTTCATTCCAGGGCTGCCTTAGAATGCATTTTGTCTTTTTTATTGGTAAAAGAAGTTTTAAAATATTCTGGATCAAGTTTATATATATGTATAAATATATATAATACTATGCATAATACTATATATAGGTATAGTGTTTATCTTCTCTGTGACTTTTTCTCCCATTTCCTTAATGATATTTTATTGAAGAGCAAAATGGTTTCTGGAGTAAATCCAGTTTACCAAGTATTTTCTTTTCAAGCTTTTTCTTAGGGCAGGCCTTGGCCAGCTGCCCCTCAGAGGGTTAGTCCCAGCTCTGCCTCCAGCCTTGCTTCCGGGTAACATGCGCCCTGGCAGGCAGCACATCCGGCTCAGGTGCTCGAGCTCTGGTCATCTATGTTGGTGACCCGGATGGAGTTCTGGGCTCCTGACTTGGGCCTGGTGTAACCCTGGCCGCTCTGGATATTTGGGGAGTGAAGCAGGAGATGGAACGCAGATCATCAGTCACCTGTCTGACTTTCAATTAAAACAAAATAATTAAAATAAAAAAGTATTCGTTCACTGTAAGAATATAAGTTATTAAAGCCCTCTAATTGCTTAATTCAAGTTCACTAAGATTTTCTCCAATTACTTTTTTCCTATAAGTTTTATAGTTTTAGGCCGACAATTTTGTGTTAATTTGAGTTATACATATGGCATGTGAAGTAACAGTTGAGGTTCATTTTTTTAAAGATTTATTGGGCTCAGTGCAGTAGCCTAATGGCTAAAGTTCTTGCCTTCCTTGACTGTCCCATATGGGTTACGGTTCTAGTCCCGGCTGTTCCGTGCTTCCCATCCAGCTCCCTGCTTGTGGCCTGGGAAAGCAGTCAAGGACAGCCCAAGGCCTTGGGACCCTGCACCCGTGTAGGAGACCTGGAAGAGGCTCCTGGCTCCTGGCTTCTGATCAGCCCAGGTCTGGCTGTTGTGGCTACTTGGGGAGTGAACCAGCAGACGACGTTTCTGTCTCTCCTTCTCTCTATATATCTGCCTTTCCAACCAAAATTAGTCTTTTGAAAATATTTGAAAGGCAGAGAGTTACACAGAAAGATCTTGCATCGCTGGTTCACTCCCCAAATGGACACAACAACTTGGAGTAGGCCAGGCCAGAGCCAGGAGCCAGGAGCTTCTTCTGGATCTCCCACGTGAGAGCACAGGCCCAAGCACTCGGGACACCTGCTGCCGCTTTCCCGGGCGCGTTGGCAAGCCGCCCGGGACACTGGCTTCACAATTCTGGATCACCAGTTTTGTTAAACGTGAATATCCAGTTTCTCCAGCCACATCTGTTATAAAGGTTGTCCTTTCTCTCTTAGTTATCGGGATGTGGTTTTTAAATCACTGATGTACACACAGGTGTATTTTTGTACTGAGATTCATGTTGTCTTAATTGACACTCCCTAGAGTCCCGCAGCTCTGCGTGACATTCACGGCTTCTGTCTGCCAGAGCTGTGTTTTCTCCTCCTCACCCTTCTCTCTCCCGCTCTCCTCCCCTCCCCTTCTTTTTATTTTTTTTTTTTTAGTATTCTAGGTCTTTAACTTTCACATGTATTAGGATTGATTTTTCCTAAAAACTTTTCTTAAAAAGCTGCTGTTGAGATTTGATGGTGTTTCCTCAGCTGGGGACAAGTTTAACCCAGAGGGGGCATTTGGCAATGCCTGGAGGTGTTTTGGATTCTTGCTGGCATAGGATGGTGCTACCGGCATTTTCTGGGACCAGGTACATTGCTAGATGATCTACAGTGTGCAGGAGAGCCCCATGGAACAACAAAGACTAGTCCCAAATCTTAAGAACTGCAAGATTTAGAAAGCCTACATTAGCTCTGTAGGCATTTGGTGGAATTGCCATTTTAAGGACAGGAAGTCCTCCAGTGTAGAAACACAGGATATACCACTTATTTAGATATTTTTACCTCCACAAGCAGTGGGTCATGACTTCCTGGTGGCAAGTATTGCACTTTTATCTCTTTTCTTAAAAGATTTATTTTTATTGGAAAGTCATATATACAGAGAGGAGGAGAGACAGAGAGGAAGATCCTCTGTCCAATGATTCATTCCCCTTGAGGCCACAATGGCTGGAGTTGCACCATCCAAAGCCAGGAGCCAGGAGCCTCCTTCAGGTCTCCCACATGGGTGCAGGATCCCAAAATCTTTTGGCTTTTCTCGACCACTTTCTTAGGCCCCAAGCAGGGAGCTGAATGGGAAGCGGAGTTGCCGGGATAGAACTGGTGCCCATAATGGATCCCGGTGCATATGAGGCCAGGATTTTAGCCACGAGGCTACCACACTAGGTCCTACTTTTATCTAGTTTTAAGTTTCATATTCTTTATAATGCTGTTGTGAATCTGTTTTCTTAATTTCATGTTTCTTTTTGGTTGCTAATATGTAAAAGTAAAAAAGGTTTTACATTGCATATTGATGTTAGATCCTCCAACTTCGTTGAACATCTTTTTATATTTATTTGATTCTTTAAAATTTAGCACATGAACAAATATCCCATGAGTGAATAGAGACAGGTCTTCCTTTTCAATCTGCATGTCTTTACTTTTCATTGCACTGGCTAGTACAATGAATAGCCGTGTGACTGTGTCATCTTTGCCTGTTCCCCAGTCCTAGGGAGTGATAATGAGCTGCAGAATTTCTTTGATTCCTAGTTTATTCTTAGTTTTTTTTATCATGAAGGAGAGGATTTTTATTATATTATATGCTGTTACATTTGGCTGTGATTCTTTATTAACAGGGCATATCACCGTATCGATTTTTGGATATTAAGCCAACCTTGTATTCCTAGAGCCAACTATAGTTGCTTGTGGTATGTAATAATTTTTGTCTATTGTTGGATTTGGGTTGCCAATTGATATGTAATTTGTATCATGTAAGTTCACTCCCTTGAAGTATGTAAATCAGTGCCTTGTAGTGTTGTCACGAGACTATACAATAGTAACTATCTCCTTCCAGAATCACCACCCTGAATGAAATACTCATTAGCTGTCATTTGCTAACCCATCCTCTTGGTCCCAGATGACTCTCAATCTTCTTTCTGCCTCTATGGACTTGCCCATGCTGGACATTGCACTTGAGTGAAATCAAGTGATATGTGGCCTCTTGGGACCAGCTTTCTTCCAGTTAAGGTAAGATTTAACAATGCAGCATCCATCCTTCCTCAGGACCTAACGGTACCAGAGTACTTGAAAAGGCTTGTGGAAAATAACATTAAATTTATTTTGGTAGAAAGAACATTTTAACTTCCATGCCTCCTAGGGTCCTTTGGAAAGCTCATGGAGAATGTGTATTATGAAAGTAAACACCAAAATAAACATGTTTCTGTTTGCTCTCAGGACATTTTTGAAGTCCATACTACATGGAGTTACATTTTGCTTTATAGCCGCCGTCTTATTGATATTTGGGTTTTCATTTTTGATGGTTATGTTGAGTGACAGTTCTAGGAGCTTTACTGTACAAGTGCTTGCCTCTTTCCACTTCTTTTACAGCCCTGCCTCTGGCTGGGATTACTGAGTCCCACTGCGATTCCAGTCTTCCACTTTGTAACAGCAACTGCACTGGAGATTCCATTCTCCATATCCTCATCAACATGTGTTATTGTCAAAGGGTTTTTTCCTTTTTTAAAAAGATTTTATTTATTTTTATTGGAAAGACAGATAAACAGAGAGGAAGATTTTCCATCCAGTGATTCACTTCCCAAGCGGCCCCAGTGGCAGGAGTTGTGCTGATCTGAAGCCAGGACCCAGGAGTTTATTCTGGGTCTCCCACGCAGGTGCAGGGTCCCAACGGCTTTGGGCCATCCTCTACTGCTTTCCCAGGGCACAAGCAGGAAGCTGGATGGGAAGCAGAATTGCCAGGATTAGAACCGTTGCCCATATGGGATCTTGGTGCATGCAAGGTGAGGACTTTAGCTGCTAGATGACTGTGCCAGGCCCATTTTTTAAAAAATTTTTAAGATTTTATAAAGTATTTGTAATAATAAAATAGATTATCGCTGGGCCCAGCACAGTAGCCTACTGGCTAAAGTCCTTGCCAAATGGGCACTGGTTTGTGTCCCAGCTGCTCAACTTCCCATCCAGCTCCATGATTATGCTGGGAAAACAGTTGAGGATGCCCCAAAGCCTTGGGACCCTGTACCTGTGTGGGAGCCCTGGAAGAGGCTCTGGCCTCCCGGCTGTGAATTGGCTCCACCTGGGGGAGTGAACAAGCCGATAGAAGATCCTTCTGTATCTCCTTGTCTTTGTAAATCTGATTTTCCAATAGAAACAAATAAATCTTTTAAAAAATTGCTGTATTTTCTTTGTATTTATATAACTTACATGCTTTTTACAAAAATTGCTATTTTTTAAAACTATACTGAGAAAATTTAGTCAGCATAGAATATTTTCTGAGATTTTACCTGTTGATTTTGCATTAATGTATTTTTATTCTTGAAATCTCTGCTCACCTCAAATAATTCTTTTTACCACTTACAAACATACGTGTTTACTCAATGCAGTATTTAACTATAGAATATTTCATTATTTATTTGAAATAATAATTATAGAGAATATCAAATGAAGCATAAGTTTTTTCTCTAACAAAAATTTAGTTTCTTATTTTTTATAATCTGTACATAGTTGATCCATGTGGGAAGAATTGAGGGTTAGGGGAAAGTGGATGAGACCATGGTTTCCAAAAGGTTAGATTTTTTTTCTCTTCTATTTTATTTTAAATTTTATGGCACAATTCCATAGGCTCTGGGATTGCCTCTTCCTCCTCTAATTCCCCCTCCCAAGCTACTTCCCCCATATTATTACAATAGTACGGTCCTTCATAAGCATCGTAAGTCCATCATTCTGTATTTAAGTGTGTCCTGATATTGGTGGTACAGTGTCAGACAGCCCAGCATCCTATTGTCAAGATAGATCCAATAGTCTCGTTGGGAGTCCATCAAAAAGTCAGATTTTTAAAACATTTTATTTTACTTTTTTTTTTGAAAGGCAGAGTTACAGAGAAGAGAGATATCTCTTTCATCTCCTAGTTCACCCCTAAATGGCTATAGTAGCCAGAGCTGAGCCAATCTGAAACCTGGAGCCAGGAGCCTCTTTCGGGTCTCCCAAGTGGGTGCAGGGTCCCAAGGCTTTGGGCCGTGCTCGATGGCGTTCCCAGGCTCAAGCAGGGAGCTGGATGGGAAGCGGGGCCGCAGGAATTAGAACTGGTGCCCATATGGGATTCTGGTGCGTGCGAGGTGAGAACTTTAGCCACTAGGCTACTTTGCCGCCCCCACACCCCCTTTAAAAAATATTTATTTTTACAGAAACATTTTAGAGAGAGAAGGAGATACAGAGAGAAACACCATCTGCTGTTCACTCCCCAACCAAGTATTGCAACAGCTGGAGCTGAGCCAAACTGACACCCATACGGGATCCAGCATTCAAGGTGAGGATATAGCCACTAGGCTATCACACTGGGCCCAAAATTGGTGGGTTTTTTTAATGTGCTAAGAACACACATAAACTGAGAAATACCATTCACAATAAAATTTAACTAATAAATTTAATAAATATTACCAAACATTGATGAAAAAATCAGCTAGGACACAAAAAAATGGGAATCTATTCCTTGCACATGAATTAAAATATAATCAAAATTATTAAAATGTCTGTATCATCTAGAGCAATCTTCAGATTCAATGAAATATCTATCAAAATACCAACGACATTCTCTACAGAATTGGAAAAAACAATCCTAAAATTTATATGGAATCCAAAAAGACCCAAGATAGCCAGCAGGATCCTGAGGAGGGAAAAAAAATGTAGCTGTAGGTATCACAATTCCTGACTTCAAAACTACAGTAATTAAAACAGCATGGCTGGCATAAAAGCTGACACACAGAACAATGGAACACAACAGAGAGCTCACAAAAATTATGTTCCTATAGCCAGCTGTGTGTGTGTGTTTACAAAACTGGAGCAAGGATAATCTCTTTATTCATTAAATGGTGCTGGAAAAACTAGATGTATACATATGCAAAAATTAAAGTAGATCCATACCTCTCACCATATGCAAAAAGCACATTGAGAGAATAGAGAGCAAAAACCATATGCTCAACTTAAACTTATATCTAAGGTCTGAGACTATGAAGCTGCTTTAAGAAGACACTAGAGAGACACTCCAAGACATTGGTAAATGGGATCACTTTTTGGACAAGACCCACAAATCTAAGTCAACAAAAGCAAAACTCGAGCTTGGCACGGTGGAGGAGTGTGCTAACATTCTACCTGCAGCACTTACATCCCATATGGGTACGGGTTTGTGTCCTGGCTGCTCCACTTCAATCCTGCTCTCTGCTTGTGGCATGGAAGCAGTAGAGGATGGCCTGAAGCCTTGGGATACTGCACCTGCTTGGAAGACCCAGACAAAACCCCTGGCTCCTGGGCTTTGGATCGGCTCAGCTCTGGCCATTGTGGCCATTTGGGGAATGAACCAGTAGATGGAAGATCTCTCTTTCTCTGTCTCTCCTTCTCTCTCTCTAACTCTTTCAAATAAAATAAAAATCATTTTTTAAAAATAGCGAAACTAAATAAATGGCACTATGTTAAGCTCAGAAGCTTCTGTACAGCAAAAGAAATGATCAATAAAGTGAAGAGACATCCAACAGAATGTGCAAAGAGTATCTGCAAACTACCTATTTGATGAAGGATTAATATATCAGCAACTTAAACTCAGCAACAAAGAGATAGCAGATCTAAGTTAAAATGAGCAAAGGACTTCAATAGGAGGAGAAATGTGAGGGCCCAGCGTCACAGCTTAGCGACTAAATCCTCATCTTGAATGCTCCGGGATCCCACATGGGTGCTGGTTTGTATTCTGGCTGCTATTCCAGCTCCCTGCTTGTGGCCTGGGAAAGTCTTGGGACTCTGTAGCCACATGGAAGAGCCAAAAGAAGCTCCTGGTTCTTGGTTTTGACCGGCTCAGCTCTAGCTGTTGTGGCCACTTGGGGAGTGAACCAGCAGGTGGAAGATCTGTCTCTCTGTCCTTCTCTCTCTGTAATTCTGCCTTTCCAATTAAAAAAAATTGCAGATGATGAACAAATGTAAGAGGAAACCCGCATTTTAGCTAAAATCCCCAACACAGTAACAGGTGCTGGCAAGTGTGACCACACAGGGGAGCATTCAGTGTTGGTGGGAATGTTAGTACAAACACTGTGCAAAATAGTGTGAGCCTTCTTGAAAAACTAGGAACAGAGCCTGCGTGATGGCTCAGTGGCTAAATCCTCACCCTGCAAGTGCTACGATCTTATATGGGGGCTGGTTCCTGTCGCAGATGCCCCACTTCCCATCCAGCTCCCTGCTTGTGGCCTGGGACAGCAGTCGAGGACGGCCCAAAGCCTTGGGACCCTGCACCTGCACTGGAGACCTGGAAGAGGTTCCAGACTCCTGGCTTTGTGCCAGCTCAGCTCTGGCCGTTGCGGCCACTGGAGAGTGAACCAACAGATGGAGGAGCTTTGTGTGCTTCTCTTTCCATAAATCTAATCTGCCTTTCAAATGGAAATAAATCTTAAAAATACACCTAGAAATAGATGTACTGTATGATTCAGAAATCTCACACACACAGGAATATCATTCCAGCTATAAAAGGAATGAAATTATTTTTACATTCATTTATATTTGCATCACGATGGACAAAACTGAAGGGAATCATGATGTAAGCCAGACACAAGTACCACGTGTTTCTATATATGTAGGAACTAAAATTAAAACAAAATAGAAAAATGAAAGATTTATGCATATCAGTCTTATACAACTTTAATTTAAACTTTTGTCAAATCAAGGGTTAAGAATGATACATGACCATAGTTTCAATGATTTGATTAAATTTAAAATTTACTGTATATGGAACATACGCTATAGGTGAAATAACCATTTTTCCAGTAATTGTTTGTAACTTTGGTCTTTAATTTCATCAAACTAGAGTATTTTTGCTTTTTAGTTGTTAAACTTATTTGCTGAAGCATTAACTTTTTACTTCCAAGTAATTTCCAAAAAGATTTTATTTTTACTGGCTAGTCAGATATACAGAGAGGAAAAACTTCCATCTGTTGATTCACTCCCCAAGTGGCTGCTACACCAGAGCTGTGCTGATCTGAAGCCAGGAGTCTAGGGCCTCTTTTGGGTCTCTCATGTGGGTGCAGGGTCCCAAGGCTTTGGGCTGTCCTCGACTGCCTTCCCAGACCACAAGCAGGGAGCTGGGTGGGAAGCAGGGCTGCCGGGATTAGAACCGGGACAAATAAGTGATCCCGGCATGTGCAAGGTGAGGACTTTAGCCACCAGGCTACTGTGCCAGGCCACTTTCAAGTAATTTTAAGATATCTCAAAAACTGGACCAAAAAAAAAAAGATGAAAAGGAGGGGGTGGGAGCAACACAGGGATGGAAGGGGTGGAGCAAGGGAATATCACTGCATCCTTAGAATTGCAGCCATAAAATCTATACTTTTTTTTTAAAGATTTATTTATTTTTATTACAAAGTCAGATATACAGAGAGGAGGAGAGACAGAGAGGAAGATCTTCTGTCTGATGATTCACTCCCCAAGCGAGCGCAACGGCCAGTGCTGCGCCGATCCCAAGCCAGGATCCAGGAACTTCTTCCAGGTCTCCCACACGGGTGCAGGGACCCAAAGCTTTGGGCCTTCTTCGACTGCTTTCCCAGGCCCCAAGGAGGGAGCTGGATGGGAAGTGGAGCAGCTGGGATTAGAATCGGCGCCCGTATGGGCTCCCGGTTCGTTCAAGGCGAGGACTTTAGCCGCTAGGCCACGGCGTCGGGCCCTATAAGCTTTAATTTAAAATTAAGAAAATAAAACGAAAAATATTTTTTAAAGTTTTATTTACTTGTTTGAAAGGCAGGCAGATTAATACAAATAGAGGGAGAAAGAGAGACTCGAGATATTCCACCTATTGGTTCACTCCCTAAAAGGCTCCAATAAGCAGGGCTCAGGCAGGGCAAAGCCGGGAGCCAGGAGCTCCATCCAGGTCTCCCCTGTAGGTGCAGCGGCCCAAGCCCTGGGGCTGTCGTCTGCTGCTTTCCCAGGTGCATTGGAAGAATACAGACTGGAAATGGAGCAACCAGGACTCAGACATTATGTTGGAGTCTCAGCCAATGGCCTCACTCGCTGTGCCACATGACCAGCCCTAAGATACACATTTGGAAGTAACTGTCAGCTGAATACAGGACGGATGAGTGAGGTGGAGGGGAAAGCCTGCAAGGAGCAGGTTAAAGAGCAAACTGGAGAAGAGGGAGAGGGGATGCTGAGCACAGAGGACTCGACCAAAGAACTGGACATCATTATCAGTGAGCTAAATGGGAACAGACATTTATAGTACATAATGTTACAGTCAGCAACTGGAGATTGAACCAGCGCATGGTTCTGGAGGACCTCAGAATGTTCATGGAAAGATGGAATTAAATCTATTTTGGTGTAACACATGAAAAATCTACTCATAGTTTTAAAATACATTTCCATGGAATATGAATACATTTTTTTGCACAAAAATAAGCTCATATATTTAATTGCATTTCCTACATATTTAGTGTTTCTTTTTTTCTGAGGCAGTCCACTGACCAATGTACTCCCCGAATGCCCATAAGCGCCTGCAAAGAGGCATGTGGATTCTAGTTTTGGGTCTCAGGTGCGTGGCGGAAACCCAGTTATCTGAGCCGTCCCTGCCACCCACGGTCTGCAGGACCTCAGCAGGAAGCTGGACTCGGGAGCTGGAGGCAGGCAGCAACTCCGGGCACTAAGACCTGCAGGTCTTTGTCACTAGGCTTGTCCCTTCCCGAACTGTGTAAATATTGATTTATTCTTATTTGAATGAGAGACAGAGACAGAGAGAGAGAGAAATGAGAATTTTCCATCTGCTGGTTCATTCTTCAAATGGCTACAATGGTCAGAGTTGAATCAATCTGAAGCCAGGAGCCAGGAGCTTCTTCTGCGTCTCCCATGTGGATGCAGAGTCCCAAGGACTTGAGCCATTTTCCACTGTTTTCCCAGGCCATGAGCAGGGAGCTGGATTGAAAGCAGTGCAGCTGGGACTAGAATCAGTGCTCATACGAGATGTCCATACTGCAGGTGGAGGACCAGCCTGCTGTGCTGCCACACTGGTCAATCCATAAACTTTCCAAAGTTCCTGAATGCACAGTGTGCAGTGCAATTTGGAACATTTGTCAAGATAGATCAAAAGCTCAGTTTTTAGATATTTCCAAGGACTGAAGTCACACTGAGTATGCTGTGTATAACAATTACAAATCAGCCAGAAAGAGTATATTCTCCTGGGCCCAGC